CACGTGGACAGGGCGGTGGGGTGGCACGTGGGCAGGACAGGTGGATGGCATGTGGGCAGGACAGGTGGATGGCATGTGGGCAGGGCGGTGGGATGGCACGTGGGCAGGGCGGTGGGATGGCATGTGAGCAGGGCGGTGGGACAGCACATGGGCAGGGTCTTTCAGGAAGGCAGGGTTTCTTCAGGGAGAGGCGAGAAGGGCCGGGGCTGGACCCGGGTGCTGGGTATTCCCTGGTCTAGAGTCTGTGATCAGGGAGGGGTTGGGTGGGCAGCTTTGGCACTTGGTCACATGCCCTTTGCCTCCCAACACCCTGCGGGCGCCCAGAAACCAGGTGGCAGGACTCCTGTCAAGGCAGTTCTGAGTAAGGTCAGAGGAGGCTGGGATGCCAGATTGGAGATAGGTCCTAGGCCTGTGCATTAAGTTCTTGCTTTTGTTCATGTGTTCTCAGGCCCCAGAGTCCCAGGTGACCGTGGCTCCCACTGTACCGGCCAGGAGCACTGGTGGCAGCACACCCAGGAGGCAGGGCATCACCGAGCCCATGGATACAGAAACCCAGGAGAGCCGAACATATGCGGATCAGAGACAGGGAGCCGAGAAGAACACGGAGGCAGAGGGGAAGATGCAGGTGGATGGGAGCACACAGGCAGACAGGAAGACACCGGTGGGCACCGTGACTCAAGGAAGTGAGGGGACAGAGTCAGGCAGGGATTCCCAGGAGGATGTGGTAGCCCAGGGAAGGGCAGGGACACAGGTGGAAAGGACACAGGAAGTCAGAAAGACACAGGCAGGTGAGAAGATACAAGAAGACAGAAGGACACAGGATGACAGGGGGACACAACCAGAGGGGAGTGTGCCCATAACCATTAGAGTTCAGTCAGAGAAGTCAGCGACCAACCTCGGCCCACAGTCCAGAGCCCCTGAATGCTCACCTGCAGAGGGGCCCAGGACTCCTCAGATTATTGAATGTTTTAAGCAGACCCCAGAAAGGCCCTCTGTCCCACAAAGACCTCGTTTCATGCTCAGACCTGAGGAGGCAGCAGAAGCAGCCTCTGGTAACCAAGAGGAAACTGTGTTGGGCCCCCTGTCAGGAGGCCTCACACTCCCAGTACTGCTTCCCAAGGGTAGTCTGGAGCCGCTGGGAAGAGAGAGATGTTGGGTGGCAGGGCAGTCAGGCCCGGTCAAGGACAAACCAGAGGATAGCCTGTTCCAGTGCCCCAAGGAAGAGCAACTGTCTGTGGATCTGGGAGGCTGTCCTCCCACCGGCCTGAGCCCGGAGGTGCCTACTCTGCCGCCTGGCACCAGCCTGACTGAGAGCTCACAGCAGGGGGTGCAGGCCTTGCCAAGTTCTGTATCCCCGCTGCACCTGGGGCTGGGTACTCCCACCCAGAGTCACCCACCAGAAACCGTGGCAGCCAGCAATGAGGGGGCCTGCGCCAAGATGTCAGATGTGGAAGGGAGGCCCTCAGGCACCGGGAGCTGCGACCCTGGCCTCATAGATTCCCTGAAGAATTACTTGCTTCTGCTGCTGAAGCTCTCCAGCACAGAGACGGGCGGGGGCGGCACGAAGTCCCAGGGGCGAGCTGCACCCAGGGTTCAGACGCCATCACCCTCACTGGCCCCCACTGTGGAAGTGGCTGGTCTGAGTCCACAGACATCACGGCGCATCCTGGAGCATGTGGAGAATGACCACCTGGTGCAGAGCGCGCAGACGCTGCTGCTCAGCCCCTGTACCTCCCGCCGCATCACTGGCCTCCTGGACCGTGAGGTGCAGGCTGGCCAGCAGGCCCTGGCTGCTGCCCAGAGCCCTGGCCCCAGCCTCCTCACTGTCCCTGCCATCGTGGTGGGCGAGGAGGAGGGCCCTGGACCGACCTCAGAAGGATCCAGTAAGGGTGAGGAAGAGGTTCCCCTTGAGAGGCCTGGCCTTCTGGGAACCTCCCAGGAGAGTAGCGTGGGGGGTCTACTGGGGGAGGCAGGTGGGCAGGCAGCCTCTGTTCAGGGACCTCTCTCAGCAGAGGGCAGAGCCCAGGAACCCTGCCAAGAGGAGGAGTTCCCACAGGAGGTGCCCACAAGTCTCCCCGCAGCCACCCCTGAGGAACTGGCTCTGGGGGCCCGGAGGAAGAGATTTCTCCCAAAGCTCAGAGCAGCAGGGGATGGGGAGGCAACCAAGCCTGAAGAGAGGGAGAGCCCCACGGTTTCCCCCCGGGGACCCAGAAAGGGCCTTTCACCTGGGTCCCCGGGGACTCCTGGGCGGGAGAAACGTTCTCCTACCCAGGGCCGAAAGGCAGGCCTGCTGGAGGTACCACGGGCAGAGGAAGAGCAAGCAGCAGGAGACCTGGGCTCCAGCCCCAAGGCCAGTGTGCCAGATGCAGAGCTGGCCCTGGATGAAGGCAAGCAGGAAACTCCAGCCAAGCCGAGGAAAGCCAAAGACCTACTAAAAGGTGAGCAATGATGGGGACAGGGTGTGGCTTCAGAGAGAGGGCTGCCCCGCAGAAGACATGGCTGCAGCCCCTGGGTTGTGCGTGCCTGCTGGGGATTTAGAGAACCTCCTACAGGGTCCTTAAGTCATGATTCCCCCAGGCTTTGGCATCCGGAAGGGCTGCTTCTCCTGGCTCCACCACTTGGAGTGGTAATGGTACCTACTCTGTAACATCGCAAGGGTTGAATAAGATAGAATAACTCTGGTGCTAGCACAGGGACTGGCCTCCACGGCGTCCTAGCCTTGTCATCCCTCTATGCAGACCTTGCCCATGAGCATAGAGTGGTTGGGACAGGTTTGAGTGCAGGTTCCTGGAGTTAGGGGCCTGGGAGATGGGCGGAAGTTCCTCTTTTGACTGCTGTCTGTGTCCTCAGCTGGGAGCCTCTCCCTGGCCCAGGAAAGGGGTGGGTTCTTTCTAGCTAGGACACGTGCTTGGGGGTCAGGGCAGATGCTTCAGAAATACAGGTGGGGCACAGCTGGGAGCCAGGAAGAAATGGGTTTGCGTGGAGACTTGAATCCTGTTTTCTCTCCGCCTGTTCCACCAGAGACACCCAGGGAACCAGGGGCAGGGCCAGAGAGGGCACAAGATGGAGGGGAGGGGCTCAGTCCTCTTACCTGGGCCCCTGCTCCCAGCCCCACAGGTGATTCGCAAGATTCGGGTGGAGCAGTTTCCTGATGCCTCGGGCAGCCTGAAGCTCTGGTGCCAGTTTTTCAACATTCTTAGTGACTCAGTCTTGACATGGGCCAAGGATCAGCGCCCAGTGGGCGAGGTGGGCAGGAGGTAAGCTGGCTGGAGGTCAGCTCCCCTGACCTGGCTCCCTAATTACAGCAATCATAATGCTGGGCATTGTCCTCACACTTTGGGTCATTCACTCACTTAATCTTCACAGCAACCCTCTGAGGGAGATTCCAGCATTCTCATGGTAGAGAGGAGGAAATTGAAGCTCAGAGGTATTTAGTCACTTGCAGAAAGTCACACACTAGTGAGTGTCAGGACTGCAAACCAGACCTATTGAGCCAGGACAAGCTCTTGGCCACAGTGCCTTGCTGCCTGCCCCAGAGCTGCCAGCAGCCCCTGAGAGCCGGGTATGAGCAGCCCCAGGACCTCCTTCTGGCCCTGGCTGCGCGTGGTAGTGGCCCTCATGGGAGGGTCTCCACTCTCTGCAGTGCGGGGGATGAAGGGCCAGCGGCCTTGGCCATCGTGCAGGCGTCCCCCGTAGACTGTGGCATGTACCGATGCACCCTCCGCAACGAGCACGGCTCGGCCTCCACTGACTTCTGCCTCAGCCCCGAGGGTGAGTGTGCCCCGGGCCTCTGCCTGCCTCACCCCTGAGGGAGGCAGCATCACCTGCAGGGACGGTGCTCTCTCTGGGTATCCAGCATGAGGGCAGCTGCTTTCTCTTTGTTTTCTCTACAGTGTTGTCAGGATTCATCTCCAGAGAAGAAGGTGAAGGTACGGAGCCCCTTGGAGGAGGAGTGGGTCCATCCAGGAAGTCCGTCCGGTAGACTTCCTGCCCTAGCCCTGAAATGAACGATTTCTTCAGGGGCTCTGGTCCCTTTAGTGGGAAATGGTATTTAGTGGCCACAATCTGAGCACTAGGGGAGTTCATAGCTACTGGATTGTTCCTGCAAACTTTTTGTTGGAGGCAAACATATTGGTTGAGATGGAGTCATTTATTCATTTGATCAAACACCTAATTCTAAAACAAAGTAATTCTAGTATTCTGTGTGGATCGCCACTCCCACAGACAACCTCCGCCTTGCATAGACACTGATCATGCTCTTACTTTGTGATGGGCACTCTTAGCACTGTTACAGGACAGGTGGGTATCAGATACAGTTTCTGCCCTCAGGAGCTCAAAATCTGGTAGGGGACCCATGGTGTTCACCAAAGAGCAGTAATGACAGAGAGTGAGCACACCCAAGTGGCAGGTGGGAGACTGATCCAGTCTTTTCCTCCCCCATAGTCCCCACATCTATGAGGCAGGATCTTCTAGTTTCCCACATTTCTCCTGTTTCCCTTCAGTTGGAGAAGAGATAGAGATGACTCCCATGGTATTTGCTAAGGGTCTGGCTGACTCTGGCTGCTGGGGGGACAAGCTCTTTGGGCGCCTGGTGAGTGAGGAGCTACGAGGGGGTGGACACAGGTACAGCCTTCGGAAGGCCTCCCAAGCCAAGGTCATCTACGGGCTGGAGCCTATCTTCGAGTCGGGCCGTACCTGTGTCATCAAGGTGTCCAGCCTGCTGGTGTTTGGGCCCAGCAGTGAGACTTCCCTTCTGGGCAGAAACTACGATGTCACCATTCAGGTACTGTGTCCCAGGCCCACTCCTGTCCTGCATTCTCTCCCCTCCTCCCTTTTCCTTCCCCGGGTCCTGTTGGAAAGCGCAGTACAGAAGCAGAAGCCCTCTCAGCCTCAACCTTATGGGGGGTCCTGGGATGGTCCTTGAGGAGGGCCTGAGGCGTAGCCCAGTTACATCTTTGGGGCCTTAGTTTTCAGGCTATATATTTGCAGCAGAAACCTTTCCCGCTTCCCTTAAAATTACCTTGACAGAAGCCTTATGTGTGAGATAAGAGGAGAGGGACTGGTCTGCTCTCTGCCCATGCAGCATCCCCCTTGCTGTCCACAGTGTGGCCCTGGGGCACTGGCAGTTATCGCCAGGGCTCCCTGCTGTCTTCTAGCAGATGTCCCTCCCACTTGGAACTGGGTGTGAGAGGACAGGGACAGTCCTTGCTGATCAGCTCAGGTTCCCTGTCATCCACAGGGGTGCAAAATCCAGAACATGAGCCGGGAGTACTGCAAAATCTTTGCTGCTGAAGCCCGGGCTGCGCCTGGCTTTGGGGAGGTGCCTGAGTAAGTGCACAGGGAGGGGGCACACAGTGATTTCACAGCCTCTCAGGGGCATCCTGAGTTATGGCCATGTGCCCGTGGGCCCACAGCCAACCCTGTGCTCAGCTTGATGGTCCCACAAAATCTAGAAACAAAGACCCCAGGATTCACTGCCTGCTTTAGGAAAGCCTCTGCCCTGGTCTCAGTCTCTTCTCACCCACCCCAGTTTCACAGCTCTTTGTCCAGTTTCTCCTACTTGCAGGGTTTGGGCACAGCAGACTCTGGGCCTCTCTGAAGGTGGTGAGCGAGGCTTAGCTCCTCCTCACACTGGTTAGGACTCCTCTGTGGTAGCTGGCAGAGGGCAGAGTGTGTGGGTTTGTAGGAGTCAGCTCCAAGTGGTCATTGTTTCCACTTTGATGCCTGAATGCCTATTCTTGAATATTGGGGTCTGGCTGGCACTGAGCCACAGACTAGTTGAATGTTCTCTAGAGGGATCCTTTCTGTTTTACACATGCTGGCTGCAGTCCCTCCCTTAAGCACAGAGTCCTCCTGGGACCATAGCATGGTTCAGTTCTACTCCCCCTGACCTCAGAGAATGGACAGGACTCTGAAGTTAGTGACTGAACTCAGGGCAGAGCTCCCCTTGCTTGTTGCCCTCCAGTCCAGAGCTAGAAACTCCTTAGAAGGGCCCGCCTTTTAGATCCAAGAGTACAGGACAGATGGAGGGGGAGCTCTCTGCCACCCTCCTTCCTGCTCACTGCAGGGTGAAACTGTGTTTAGGATCATCCCACTGTATCTGATCTACCGGCCTGCAAACAATATCCCATATGCCACGCTGGAGGAGGACCTGGGCAAGCCCCTGGAGCCGTACTGTTCCCGAGAGTGGGACTCTGCTGCAGGGCCTACGTTGGCCAGCTCAGAGGCCGTGCAGAAGTGCCAGACCTTCCAGCACTGGCTGTATCTGTGGACGAATGGCAGCTTCCTGGTCACAGACCTGACAGGTGTGAGGGTGTGAGGGTGCTCGCACGTGTGTGAAAACAGGCCTGGGTTCGGAGGAGGGCGCGTGTGTACTGATCTACAGCCCGCTTGCGTGTTCACGCTCCTGTGCTGTTGGCAGTAGCCTTGTGAAGTAGATCAGACAGGCACCATTTTATTTCATGTGCAAGCCTCATACCTCCTATAGCCTAGGCATGCACTCCAGGCTCCACTTAAAATTTTAAAGGAATTTGTTTCAAAAACATTACATGGGACCTAATCAAAACCCCAACCACCTTTTCAAAATCTCCCTTCCCTGCAGTTTTGCTCTGGACTTTTACTCCCCACACTCCCCCAACTCTTTCTTACATCCCAGCTTAGAGCTTTATTGTCCCCTCGCCCCCTCTTTCCTCCTCCCTCTCCTCCGCCCCCTCCACCCTCCTTAGCTTTATATATCATGTAATCAACACAGCCCGTCTGGCTTCTTCCTGTTTCTCCTATTACTCAGATTCTTCCCTGGCAAAGAAAGGCCAGGAATCCTCCCTTCCCCGACCATCCTCACCAGACCTACTCTCTACAGAACTGGGCAGGGAGAGGAGCAGATAAAACTGTCTACAGTGGGAGGAGAGGCCTGCTGGGAACATGCCACATTATTACATACAGCCTTTGGTGTAAATAAGTGAGGAAACCAAAGCCAGAGAGAAACTGGCTTAAATGTGCTTTTCACTAGGGTTAAACTGTACAATAAGTATTGTTTTTATAGCTCCATATATTTGGGGGGGGGGGCTAGTAACACATTCAGCCATTGTCACTCACTCTATTTGTAAACTTGTAAATTGGTCCTTCCTTCCTTCTCTCCATCCATCCATTTAACTTTACCAAATATTGGAAAGATAAAAGGTGAGTTAGGAATGGTCATTGTCCTTAAGAAGCTGTGATAAGTACACTAGTTTCTATAATGAGATGATATATGATATAATAGAAAGACTTGAGAGTTAAAGAAATCAGATTTAAGTCTAGGCCTCATTGTTTTCTAGCTGGGTCTGTTGTACAGAGTAGAGAACTGGAGCTCGGACACGTTTAGTCATTTAATGCCTCTGTGCTGCAGTTCCCTTTCCCTGTCCAGGAATAATACATTGTTCCTGCCTAGCTCTCAGACTGTTACAAGGATTAACTGAGGTGTATTTGTTTTCACTTATTTGCCTTCTGCAAACTAAAATTCTGTGCAGGTGTAAGGGAGCATCATTATAATGCAGAACGGAATGTGGTAAATGCTGAAAGAGACATCACAAAATTAGGATCTATTGCATAATTACTGTGTTTCAGACACTAAATTAGAGTCCCAGATGCTCTGCAATCTTCTCAATACCCCTGCGAGATGGACAGTGTCACTCCCACTTCCTCAGTGGAGATAGTAAGTGACTTGCCAAGTTCAAACATCTCACAAGTGACAGAGCTGAAATGCAAACCCAGGTCTGTCTGACTCTCAAGCCCACATTTGTGCCACTCAGTGGTTCTCAGTTCTGTTAGTGAGAGGCAGGTTTCTAAAAGAATGCTACCCAACCGACTATTTGAAAATGCTCAGTTACTGAATAAATGAATAGATGTGACTTTGCTTGAGTTACTCAGCTCTGAACCTAGCTCCTCTCCTATAAAAATGGGAACATTAGTACTACTACTAACACAGACATGCCCACACTGCCTGTGAGGTAGGCCAGGGGTGATGACCCAGCGAGAGGAGCCTGAAGATGTGCTCTGAGACCTGGCAAGTTTCCATCTAAAGGAGACACGGGGGCCCATGACCAGCCCAGGCTGCCGTCAACTCAACTCCCAACATTCTCTCTCTTCAGGGGTTGACTGGAAGATGACCGATGTACAGATTGCCACCAAGCTGCGAGGGTGAGTACTTCTTAAGGACACATGCCTTCTGAGAGCCTCCTTAGGGTCTAACATGTCAGAGTTCTGCTTCTTCATCCCCGTGGTGCTGGGCCTGTGGTCGAATGCTCCCAGTGCTCCCATGGCCATGTAGTAGCATCCCAGGGGCTGCTGGCCCCCACACACTGTGCCCCTGCCCCAGATCTGGACCAGCAGCCACCAACGCCCACATATAGGGCCACCTGCAGCTCTGGGCTCTGACTGCACCTGCTCCTCCTCTTCTCACTTGGGAAAGCTCATCACAGCACAGATGAGCAAGGGCAGTGAGCAGTGGTGTCCTGGAATCTGCTCTAATCTATATTGACAAGGCAGGTCATCCTCACACAATCGGTGTCCCACATGATGAGTTCCATGCACCAGGGCCTATTGCGACCTCAGTTTAGAATAGAGGTTTTAGGTCCTGCCACCTGGAGTGGCACCGGGTAGACTCCCTAGCACTCCCAGGGAGGGTAGTATGTACCTTGGCCACAACACCCTGGCCATGGCCATCCCAAAGCTGGCCCTCCAAGGACCAGCAGTCTGGGTGGGACTCCAACTCAGCTCTTACTGTTTGGCTGCAGATACCAAGGCCTCAAGGAGAGCTGTTTCCCTGCCCTGCTGGACCAGTTTGCTTCCTCCCACCAGTGCAACACCTTCTGTGAGATGCTGGGGCTGAAACCCCTCAAGGGCCCTGAGGCTGCCCACTCCCAAGCCAAGGCCAAAGGCTCCAAGAGTCCATCTGCCGGCAGGAAGGGCCCCCAACTGAGTCCTCAGCCCCAGAAGAAAGGCCTCCCCAGTCCCCAGGGCATCCGGAAGAGTACCCCAAGCTCTAAAGCCACTCCTCAGGCCTCAGGGGCAGTTGCCACCCAGTTATTGGGACAGCCTCCCATCCAAGAGGGGGGTTCCAAAGCCCAGGGCACGCGGTAGCCCCTACAGGAGGCTGGGGGCTTCCACCCAGCAGCAGACCAACAAGGAAGCAGCTCGAACCGACGGAGACTTTCCCCATACAGACTAACCGGAGAAGGCGCACTGAGCAGGCACCACTTGGGGGCCTCTCTACACAGCCTTCTCTCAGCTCCTCATCAGAAGGCTTTGGTGCATGGCACACAACCCAGTGGCCTCTCCTGGTGCCATGTCACCAGGGCCCACAGGCCCCACCTCCAAGTGCCCCAGGGGCTGAGGCCCTCCTTGAAGTTTACACTGGCCACTGCTGGAGGCTCCCTGAGTCCTCTGCATGAGTCCTGCACCCTGACCCTTGCCCCAGCCAGGCCCTGCCGTGAGCAGTGTCCCCGGGCATGCAGCCCAGCACTAACCCTCTGCCCTTGCTCAGCCTTATCGCTGCCTGACCTCAGGGCTCCAAGCTTCCCCTGCTATGTGATTCTCAGGGTCTCTCCTCCTTCAGGCTACTCTGCCTCATTCATCCAGCTCACCCTGCATCTCACCTGTCCCGAGCCCCATGGGCCGGTCAGTCCTTGGGCCGTGGTCTTTGTGACGTGTTCTTGCTTTTCCCTGTGACTCAGGCACTCACTTGCCTGCTTCCGTGCTTTCCTGCACCCCATCCACACCCCTGCCTTCCAGCCCAGTTGCAGCCTGCTGCCTGCCCTGCACTGACTCTGCTTGTCCTCTTGCCTGATGGCTTTTCTAGCCTGACCCCACCAACCTACCCACCAGGACCCAGACCCTCTGGCCTCTAGTCCACTCCAGTCCACTCTTCCTCTGACCATGAGGTGAGGGTTGTGTCAGCAGCTGTTGCCAGAGGGAAAGTGTGGACTCTGAGGGACCTCATGCCTCCATACTGAAGGGAGGGGGGTCATGTGAATTTCATGTACCCTCCTGGCCAGGACGGAGGACTGGGACTCTTCTCCACAGGGAAATGGCATGGGCGTTCTAAGAACAATGTAAACATCTACCCGCTGGGATGCAGGGTATCTCTGTACCTGGGACTTAGGACACCTGCCCAACCATTAGCTCTGGATCCTGAAGCTCCAGCCCTGGGACCTCATATATGGGCTCCCAGGGAATTGCCATGTCCTTCCTGAGAGCCAGCCTGGAGGCCTGGGTGGGGTGGGTCTGGAGCTAGCCTCTCCCTGTGGAATGCAATAAAGGCAGCAACTGTGTTTCCTGCTCACCCTCATCTGGTGTGTTGTAGGTGTATGGGCTCAGGGTCCTTTCCCCAGGCAGATTCTCCAAGGGCCACCTACGGTCAGTCCCTGGGCCCACTGGGAAAATGAATACATGTTTTGGCTCATAGATTGACATTTAGTCTGAGCCTTCTGTGGCCACAGCTGGACAGTCTGTGCTGCTTGTGCAAGTGGGCTGATGGCTTGTGCCCCTTAGCAGGGTGTCTGTGGACCTGGGGCCAGATTGGAATTGTTCCTTCATTTGGGAGAGGGACATGAAGAGGGAACCCGTGAGGGTAAAGCAGAACTGGGCGCTCCGGGGAAACGCTACTGTCTGGCTTCTTCCAGTGCAGCCAGACTAGCCAGGGGACAGCCAGTGTCTGCCTCTCAGCCACTCACTGACCACTTCCTGCCTCCCAAGCAGCAGGAGGCGTCTCATTCCCAGCCCATTCCCTTCCCCCCATGGTCTGGGCTTTTCCTTGCCTGACGTTTGTCCCTCCACACTGACATTTCTGTGCACTTCTCTACCTCCTCTTGTGCCCCTTCTCACCAGCCTGCCTGTCCAGATTGCCCTGGGGAACTAGAGCTGGAATATCTTCCATCCTATATTCACTCATCCATGCATTCAGCAGACATACAGCGAGCACCTCCCTACTTTATGCCAGACTCTGAACTGACAGCTGTTGGGGATCAAACATTATGATGTAGTCTCAAAAGAGACCCTTTCCATTGGGCTTTTGAGCAACAGAAGTGGACTTGGACCAACTTAAGAAAAAAGGATTCATGGGAAGAGCACTGGGGTAGCTCACAGAGGAATACTGGACAATTAGCCTTGAGAAGAGGGGACCTAGGGGAGATCCAGAGCTTGCCTCCCAGGAGCTACTGCTGTTGTCAGATGAACCCCAATCAGCCATTGGTCCCAGTGGGTCTCCCTCCATTCAAGCTTCAGATTCCCGGCCTGGGGCTCAGGGCGTTGTGGAGTAGGAGAAGGGCAGTTTTCCAAAGGATGGGGATTCTTACCAGAGAAAGGTGGAGAGTGGGAGGGTAGAAAAGGCTTGGTGGGCAACGACAAAGGACTCCCCAACACACACACATGCGCACACACTGCTCCTCCCATCTGATGTACTGCGACTTCCACATACAACCCTGGGTTCTCGTGCTGTGTTTTTCTAGTCAGTACTTGCCACGGCTTTGTTGAGCACTCTGCTCCACCACAGGCTCCAAATGGCTCCCTATGCCTCGGACAGACGGATGCCTCAGCATCATTGAATCTGCCAGGCCACGTGGCCTGGTGGCAGAACCATTTCTTCTAAAGGCTTTCTACTAAAGAGCCTTCACTTGCTCTGGGCCCAACCCAAAGATGGTGGCCTTTCTAGGTCAGTCAGTAAGTGGGTTGGAGCAAGATGCCCCAGAGTGACACTTGTTACCAGAATTGGGCCTTAGTGGTAAGGGATTCAAAATTTGTTCTACATTATGGAGGAAACATTCTGACCTCAACAGACCCCTCCGGCCCCAGGGACTTATCACGGGGATAGGCCTTTGCATTTTAATCTCACTTTTCTCCCACCTCTGACTCACAAATGCCTTACGAAGGCATCTAGGGAAACTGGAGATGCTGTCAGTGATGGAACTCAGTGGTGGTGAGGTCAAGGTCCCTGTGAGCCAGGCAGGGGCGCACAGCTGGACAGCTAAGGTACTCTGTATGTTTAAGCCAGGTCAGCAGCTAAGTACCTCTGCCCTGCCAGATGAAGATGAAATGCTTTTGATGTTCTGTTCTTCAAAATAGAGAGGAAAATGAATTCACTAGGTCAGAGGATTTATACCAGATGCCAGGAGCTGGATGAATTTGCTTTAGCAAGAAGACCGTCTGGATCAGCGCCTGCAGTTGGAGTCATGACTAGAAAGTTTGCAGCCGTCCTAAGACCTATGTCTTGCCCTGGCTGAGCTGAACTGTGGTAGGAATCACTCTGACTTCTCTCAAGTCCTTGGTAGTAACACTGCTGTCTCCAGTTTCCCCAGGAACATGGTATTACTTTTGATTTACCATTTCACTAGAGGGGTATTCTAGTGGCTTGTACTTGTCCTGTCCCCCTATAGTCGCTCTTACCCCTCAGACCTGAGAGCCATGGTAGGGTTCATGCCTATTTCAAAATATATCCATTTCAACTATACACTCAACCCCTGGTTGGCTCTGAGGTTCCTCTGTAGCATAAAACTTGGTCTCTGAGTCATCCTCATGGATTTGGCAGGCCATGTGCTTTTCTATTCCCAGAAATTGGACTTAGCTCAGAGCCAGTGCCCTCGAGAGGACACCCCTCTCCCCAGGTTTGGGTGCTGACCCTTTCCTTCCATAGTTCCCAGATAAGTGACCAAACATATCCCTTTGGGGAAGGCTGCAAAGAAAGTTTACAGTATGATCTAAGTCTTAAAATACGGTTTCACTTCAAAGATACTGACTTCCTCTCCATTGAAGGCCTGGAAATTAAGTGGGAGATTTTGACTCTACTTGGCATCTTGAGATGTTTGCCCACCCAGAAGTCTTAGTCATGGCAATAACTAGGTAATATCTTAGGGGGTGTCTGGTCTTTTTCATTCCTGGGACCCAGTGGTCAATTAGCCCTGGTCGGGGCTCATGCGGGAGGCAGCCAGTCGATGTGTCTCTCATATCGATGTTTCTCTCTCTTTCCCCTTCCACTGTCTCTGAAAAGCACTGGAAAGAATATCCTCGGGTGAGAATTGAAAAATAATGAAATAAAATAATCCTTTCACTAATACTTACAGATCTCCTGTATCTGCGATAATTGTATGTCCTGGGTATGTAATAGTGACCAAAACACACACATTCCTCCCTCGTGGAGCTTACAGTCTAGTGGGGGCGACAGACGTTAAGCAACACACCAGTAAGCGTACAATGGCAAATACACTATCAAGTGCCACAAAGCAGCACCGCAGGAGGTCGGACCCAAACTAGATGGGGGCGTCTTGGGGGTAATCCGAAGGTGTGGTACTTGAGCTGAGATCGGAAGGATGTAGGTCAGGGGCAGGGGAAGAGCGTACCAGGCAGAGGGCTCTGAGTCAGGTCATGGTGGAGGACAGGGTGGGAGCTTGTGTGTGGCCAACGAGGACTGTGCTATTGCAGGAGGAAGTCCAGCCAGAGAGGGGCGGGTCAGGCCATGGAAGGACATTTGCACTGAGCCCTAAGCAGTGGCGCATCGGTGAGGAGCACGTACAACTGGAAATGATAGAAGCCCTCAAATGACGGGGGTCTTAAGCAAGAGGAAGTTATTTCTTCCTCAGAAAGAGGTGTGTAGGCAGTGGACCTGGACGTGATCCATCCAGGGTGGGCGTGGCAGCCCTAGGATGGCGTCAGAACCTAGGCTCCTCTGCACCGTCCTGTCAACCCAAGCAGGAGAAACGACTGATCCCACGTGTGACGTCATGAGTAGAACTAAAGTAATGACGCAGTTGCTGAACATCAGACAACTAAATTTTCATTTTATAGAGTCAACAGGTGGTGTCAAAGTTGAAAATAAAGAATAGTATCTATATGTATTGTCTGTCTGTCTGTCCATCTATCCATCTACCCACCTGTTCACCTATCCGTCTCTCACCTATTTATTTAAAGAGGTTATTACCAGAAGTGAAAAACAAGAACAGCTTGTTTGTAGTTGTCTGGGGAGGGGGTTGGGGGCGTGGCACTGGTCTCTCTGGCTCTTGCAGCTCTGGTCTCTGTGAGGCTGCCCCACAGCCTCCATTGCTGGTCACTCATTTGGATTTTACTTGAGACAGAAGGTCCTACAGAGATACCCAACTCCTACAGCTTCAGGAACCTGCCTCTTGGAGATTGGAGTGTGTCCCATCCAACCAGGCAAACTTGAGCTCCGTTGTTAAAGCTCAAAGGCAAACACGAGATTGGTGGAGCTCAGCCAGACAGGAGCATCTGTCCTCAGGAGGCTGTGGCTATGTGGCTGGAGCCAGCTCTGGGTAGGGAGCACCTACTGACACCTAGAGGTCTGGAGCCTGTCAGAGGCACTGTCCTCTGACCTCAGAACCGATGTGGTTCTCAGACGGCTCTTTCCTCTTATTTCCAAAGGGCGTCGAGGGGCAGCAGCTGCCAGACACTCAGCCTCAGGGGACACACCACACATGAGGAGGACCCTGGCACTTGCAGCATATACCCGGATGGTAGAGTTACAACAGGACATGATATGTGGATTCCTGGGCTGAGGTAATGGTCTGGTCAACTCCTCTGGCCACTGCTTTTTCATGATTTGAGTAGTGCATCCAGGCCCAGCATGGCACATGCCCTGTGGGTTCAAACAGGCTGACATTTCTTTTTTTCCTTTCTTTTGTGTGTGTGAGCAAGCTCAGTAATTAGAGGCTGTATAGCACTGAAGGATCTAACGCTGGCTGTATACAGAAGGGAAAGCATTTTTTTTTTAATCCTCAGGTGAGGATATTTTTTCCATCGCTTTTCAGAGAGTGGAAGGGAGAGACCCATCGATTGGTTGCCTGCCTCATGTGCCCAGACCGGGGGCTGGGGATTGGGCCTGCAACCGAGAGGTACGTGCCCTTGGCCAGAATCCAACCCAGGACCCTTCAGTCCGAGGGCAGACGCTCTAACCCTGAACCAAACCAGCCAGGGCCAGAAGGGAAAGCATTTCAATTAGAAACACTTTACCTGTTACCAAGTTCTCACTGTCAATATGGCAACAATTTAGCAGTTTACCATTTAAAAACCAACAGGAATAGTGCTGCCCTCTGACCCTTTGGTTCCCAGTGACAAATAGTGCAGGAATAACGCCTCTGGTTTTCAGTTCCTCCTGGGTGACATTTATTAGCAGAGAGAAACCTGATGCTTTGGCTGAAATTTGGCAGCCCAAGAAGTGCACCACCTGCTCTGAAGCATCCCTCATGCTCCGGACACAATGCTCTCAGGTGACCTTTTGACCAGTGGTCCAACACACATGCCAGAAGTTTCACTGAGAGAATTTCGACTCGGGAAACGTTTCCAGCAGCAACAGCTCTGTTTATTTTCTTACTAACACACATTCCTGCCATAGATCTGGTGTCATTGGTGATGGCAACTCAAGCAGCTCTCGCTAGACCTTCGTTACTGACAGATCCTCGTTTCTCCTTGTAAATCGTGTCGCCAAATCTAGATGCCATAGCCCAACCCCACAGGCCAAGTCTGTCTCAGTCTCCCCCATAACTCACGGACCAGCTTGTCAGCTCGGGTGTTGTCACCTTTGGGTGCCATTTCAAGAGCCTCTTTAAAACTTTCACAGCCAGTCAGTAAACTGCACAAGCCCAGAAAGGTGCCCCCTCCGAAGCTTGTCCCGGTTACTGGTTTCTAGTGATCTTTGGAGTGTTCTGTTACCATACTGACTCCCCAGCCAGGGTCCCCGAAGGCGCCCCCTGGCACCGCTCCGGTTCTGAGGCATTACCAGAGCAAGAGCAGCCTGCTGTCACTTGTATATTATCTGCTGTGTGATGTAGACAGCACTTCTGACAGAATCTGTGTACCGCAAGCCCTTTACAGGACAAGTCCATCCAATCTGTGCCGGTGTGAGCACCACCTCCTGTAGCCCATTGCACCACATGTGATCCTGAGAGTTTTTATCTCTTCCCATTTGGAGAAAAGTAGGCAGGTCCTGCCCGGCCAGTGTGGCTCAATGGTTATCGGCCTATGAACCAGGAGGCCTCGGTTTGATTCCCGGCCAGGGCACAGGCCCGGGTTGCAGGCTCGATCCCCAGTAGGGGGCGTGCAGGAGGCTGCCGATCAATGACTCTCATCATTGATGTTTTTTCCCCTCTCCCTTCCTCTCTCTGAAATCAATAAAAAAATATTTATATATATATATATCAAATCTCTATTTAAAAAAAGAATATTAAAAAATAAAAAATAAAAGCCACCACTGATATCTTTGAACTCAGTGGGGTGACGTGAGTTAACTACTTTGGTTTGTGGAACACCTTAACCTGGATCCAGCTGAAAAGGAAACATCTCGGTCTCTCATTATTTAAAGAGCTAGTAAGAGATGGAGAGGCACAAAGGATAGAAAATGAAATAACAAGGGGAATATCCTTCACAAAGGAGTAACCAGTTAACTATTTGGAAACAGTGATCTCCGAACTGCTTGGGGAAAACTCCCCTGGCCTGGTGGCAAATATATATAAATATGGTCCTCCCCTCCCTCTGTCCTGGACCCATTACCCTGCCTGGCTCAGTCCTAGGCCTCACTCTACCATCCGGTGGGTGGGACAGGCATCTGAGCTCAACTTCCCAGGAGCAGCCTCCTCTGGAAACAGGCCACAGGGGGCCCAGGAACAGGGCAGAGCCAGGACCCCTGAGGTCCTCCAGCTCTTAGTTGTTCCCTGGTGGCCTCACCTTAACCTACCGGGCCTCCTGACTGTGGCTCTCAGCCAAATGCCACCTGAAAAGAGCATCTGGCTTCTGGGGTCCAGGGTCACTACTGGTCATCCCTCTTTGAGCAGGGCCAACAGAGGAGAAACACAGGGTCTCCTGGCCTGAAGGAGGAGAGGAATATGTCAGGACAGCTCTGAGATGGGACCTGTGAAAGTGATGACACCTGCCAGCCTGCTGGGGCCAGGCTGTCTGCCAAAAACCTCACCAGAATTAGCTCACTTAGTCCTCATGAATATTTATGTAAGAGGTAGGTACCCATGGCCCACCCCCACCGTTTTACAGATGAGGAAACAGGCTCATTTCGAGAGACAGGAATGAATCTAGACCTTTACACTCCAAGCTCAGGGTTTTATCTCATGACACGCAGCCTCTTAAATCCTTGCTTTGGAGATCAGAGCACACGGAGATGTCAAGGTTGTAAACTAGTATAGCCCAAGCTCGTTTTGTAAAATGATTAACGTTAAATAATATTCACTTAGGAAAAAAGTCTGGACAAAAATGCCACCAACTCCATAGTGGTCATCTCCAGAGGTCCAGATCAGAGGCGTTTTTAACTCCCTGTGTTTTGTATATTTCTATAATATTTAAGTGTTTAACAATGCTCAAGTAATGTTTTGGTAATCACAATGACAGACCAAAAAAAAACCACCAAACAATGTTTTTAAAAAGAGGAGGTATCCCCGCCCTCCAACCATCTTTCTCCAATTTTTCAAAATGGCCAGAACTTGCCCTGGCCGGTGTGGCTCAGTGGTTAGAGCGCTGGCCTGCAGACTGAAGGGTCCCGGGTTCGATTCCATCCAAAGGCATGCACCTGAGTTGCAGACTTGATCCCCAGCCCCAGTTGGGGCGCGTGCGGGAGGCAACCAATGGATGTGTCTCTCTCACATCAGTGTTTCTCTCTCTCTCTCTTCCACTCTCTCTGAAAAGCAATGGAAACAATATCCTCAGGTGAGGGTTAAAAAAACAAAACAAAACAAACAAAATAAACAACGAGCACATGCAGGTAGCTCTGTACCCTGTGTTACCAGGAAGTGTTTATGCCCTGAGTGTGTGTTTAATTATTAAAGAGATGTTGTTAATCCTCTCAGGTAAGTTTAACGTTTAGTTCGAGGACTGAAACACTAAAGGGTTGGTCCCTTGACTTTGCACGTGGTTGCTTAGGTGTCAATTAAAGAGAAAAACGGAACAAAAGGGCAAATCGTGTGGTTTATGTTTTGTTGGCAGGACTGCGTGAATGCTTAGACCTAAAACGCCTTTACTGTTTGTGACAGCTACCCTGTTGTCCTTTATCTTCAAGCTCAGGAAAATAAATTGCTGTTATCATTACCGGAAACTGGATAAGAGGTGAAATACAAGGTCAAAGGTGTTGTCTGAGATGCAGAGTAGCCCTGAAGGCAAGGGGAAAGGGAGGGCACAGGAGGGGCAGTGGGAAGGGTGAGGATAATCAGGATAGACTTCCTGGAAGCGGTGGCTGTATCTGGGAGCAGAGGAAAATGGAGAGGAGAGCATCTCAGAGGAGGAAGGCAGATTAAGTGATAGGGCAAGAGCTCAGTGGGCCAGGCCTAGTGTGGGACCCTCTTGCCCTGTTCCCCTTTTCCCCGAAAGAGGTTGGGGTCCCCGCCTATGCCGTGATAAAGATGGGTGGGAGGCTTATCCTGCATCAACTCTGAACTCTGCCCAGGAATTTCCACTGAAATGAGAACACAGGCCAAAGTGCAAGCAGGTCAGACCCAGCTTGTCTTCACAGAAACACTCGCTTCCACCCGTCCCCGAGAGTGGCTCGTTCACTGAACATACGTGAGTAGGAAGGGGACCCTGCCTCCCTCTGCGCAGCTGTGTGGGTGTGCTTGTGTGTGCAGGGGCAGCTGGGCTTCCCCAGGCCCCACCTGTGTGTGCACTTGCGCACCTGTTCTGCTCCTGGGTGCGCGCAAGTGTGCACGCCCCTGGGTGTGCGAGCTTAACCAGGCTGGCGTTTGGATGGTGTAGGTTGCTTCCCAAGGGAAAGAAAAAGAGAGGGGACAGGAGTGGGGAGAGATGGGGTCTTAGGGCTCTCATTTACTTATTTATTCATTTTTCGTCCTCACTTGAGGATATTTTTTCATTGAGAGAGTGGAAGGGAGAGAGAGAGAGAGAGAGAGAGAGAAACACTGATGTGAGAGAGACACATCGACTGGTTGCCTCCCACATGAGCCCCAGTCGGGGCCGGGGATCGAGCCTGCAACCTAGGTACGTGCTCTTGGCCGCAGTTGAACCCGGGACCCTTCAGTCTGTGGGCTAATGCTCTAACCACTGAGCCAGACTGGCCGGGGTTAGGGGTTATATTTGCAGGTGAGTTTAAGCCTATGAACTGAGCTTCAGTAAAAGAAAAGAAAAGAAAGGAAAAGAAAGGAAAGGAAAGGAAAGGAAAGGAAAGAGAAAAGAAAAGAAAAGAAAAGAAAAGAAAAGAAAAAGAAAAGAAAAAGGCCTGTACTGGCTCTTGCAGTCGAAAGATTGGGACTGATCTCAGGTACAGCTGGATACGGGGACTGGAATGAAGTCTTCCAGACACTGTGTCTCCAGCTTTCAGCGGTGGGACAACAATGCAATACAGTGAAGATCTCACTTAATGGCAACGGCTTTAAAGCATCGTGGGGAGCGTTGAAAGCTAGGGCCTCTCTTCAGAAAAATACCCGAATCAGGTACACATACATGCAACACAGAACTCCTTTCTTTTCTTTTTTTAAAAATATGTGTTTATTGATTTCAGAGAGAGGAAGGGAGAGGGAGAGAGAGGGAAACGTCATCAGTGATGAGAGTTGGAATCATTGACGGGCTGCCTCCTGCACGCCCCCTGCTGGGGATCGAGGAGCCTGCAACCCAGGCATGTGCCCTGATTTGGAATCGAACCGAGACCTCCTGGTTCATAGGTTGATGCTCAACCGCTGAGCCACACCAGCTGGGCCAGAACTCCTATCCTTCCTTCTCTGTGAAGTGGGCAGAATTGCCCTGTTTCCACCTGGCCTCTCAGATTTCTGAGAACTCGCCTGTCACAGAAGTGAGTGCGGGAAGGGAAGCCTTCCTCTGTCTCGGGGGAATCACGGCCGTGGCCGCCAGCCACGATGAGCGCTCCGGGGAGCTATAAGCTGTGCCAGGGGCCTGGTCCCCCCGGCCAGCCCCTCTCCCTTCCCATCTTCCTTCTCCAGGCCCCTCCCTGGGTCCTTCCTGGCTTCCCCTTTTCAGCTTTGGGCCCTGACTTTGTCTTTCAGCTGGAAGGCCTGGCCCATGGAGGTCAACACGCCAAGACCAAAAGAGTCCATCTCTCTTGCATCCGTGGCCAATGGTCTGGACAACATGGGGGCCGAGGTCTTGGAGAGCCTGGTCTGTGCCCTTCCCCACTCCCGTTTGGCCCCCTAGTGGGAAGGACCTTTGCTCACCATCTTCATTCACTCCCTGCTCACCTCTTTAAATTTTAGGACTGAGCCCTCCCCCCTGCTGCTCCCAGTGTGCTGGCCTCCTCAGCACAGAGCACCCCTTATTTCACTCATTAAACATTTGTTATGGACCCACGATGGGCCATCAGGGCCTGCCCTGGTCTGAAAGGCAGGGAAGGTCTCAACAAGAAGAGCCATTGGGCTCTGATTTCAAAGATGTGAAGGAGAAACCACATGGGGGTGGGTGGGA